TTTTTTTGAGTCATATATCACGTCACTTGTTTTTTTCTTATGTATGGTAAAAAAAATATGTTTTCGATAAACATATCGATCGATGACGAAGCAAAAAAATTACAATATTATCTGATTATTATTCCTTTCATATTATGCATCATTGATTAAGTTAGGATTATTTTGGACTAGACATGTACTTTTTCTGACTAGACTAAATATTTTTATAATGTTCTGTCGATGAAGAAAAATATGAGTCATGGTTACTCGTTCTGTTTTGTTTTGCTTTCTTCTCTTCCGACCTGACACATACACAAAAGGGAAAAAGCCAAATGCACAGACATTTTTTCCCATATAAATACACGTAATAAATAAAACAGAATATCTTTTTATAGAAAAGTATTGTGGTAGTCGCGATTTGGTTTTGTGTCGCTCTTATCCGTCCATTATTGAAAAAAACTATATTTTTTAATCACCACTATAAATATTATTGAAAATATGTTTTCTCTAAATAACATGACTCATGAACGTATATCCGAAGAAGCGCATGGCGAACTTGCCTCTTTTTTTACAAATGAAACTGATCTTTTACTTGGCGATGAAATTATGGATATAGTCAATGGTTCTAATTTTGTAAATGATCTTAATGATGTTGGTCTATGTGATTTCGACCAAATGATCGGTAATATAAACTAGGATATTTAATAAAAATTCAAATATGATTTAATTTTTGTTTGTATAGAATCAATAATGGGTCCTGTTGAACCAAATGACTTAGATAAATACTTAGGTCTACCCAATCAACAAGGTAAATACGGATTTAAAAATTATGCAATATCTTTTAAACTATTTATTTTCTTAGTTTTAGATAGGTCTCCTGATTATGACAACAATTGTGCATTGGCTTTGAGTGATATATTTGCAACACCAATTAGTAAGTATATTCATTTTGAAAACTACCTTATACTATGTAATATTCAATTATTTTTATTATTTTTTAATAGTAAAAGGAGAAAAGATTTATTCAAATACTAAACAAGTTGCATTGTCACAATCGGTTGGTGTTGGTCAAACACAAAATATACCCAAACCTTCGCAAAAAATCTCTATTCCTTATGATTTAGAAGAATCTTTTCGACCTCGTTACAAAAGTGACTATTTTGCTCAGAATGGAAAAAATCGTAAACCAAGATATGTTGCTGATCGAATTGGTAATCACTTTGTTACTATCAAAGTAAGAGAGATTTCTTAAAAATAGAACATTTATATTTTAATTTTTTTTTAAATAATATATTAGGTTCCAGTAGGTGTTCGTGGTTATATTCGAGTTGCTTGGCTAACGATACCTGATAAATCTGGAAATCAATATTATATGCCTTACAAATTTCAGCAAAGTAATGTTTCAATACAAGAACAGGATGTTAACCCATTATACGTTCCAATTGCTGCTGATAGCCATGGATATATGAGGTATGTCATTTATCCTTTTCTATTTAAGTATTGTTTTATTCTTTTTAATATAGATTATATCTCGTATTAATTAAATCAACACAAGGTGAACTTAAATCAATTAATTCATTGGAACCATTTCAACCATTTCGAAATTTGCTTGGTGCATTAGATGAAAAGAAGACAGAACAAAAATTGGCATTAACTCCCAAGCAATTGATTCATATGTATCAATTAGATCAGTCTCAATTAGCATTTACATTTTGTTCGATAAGTCCAGATGGAAAGCAGACTATACATGAATGGGATACAACTGTTTATTCAACAATTCTCACTGGTAAGAAATAAATACTAGTCAATTTGAATATATATATATACATGTTCTTTTATTTATATAGAACTACCACCAGAGAATTCAAAACGAAAAATAATTACATGTCCAAGATGCACACATGAATTTCCATTACAGATAAATGGTGATGATGATGGTATTCCAAAAAAAGTTACAAAGAAACGAAAAGTAAATCATCAAGCACATGAGCATCAATACACATAGGCAGAGTACGCCTCAAATTTTCTTCTTAATATCTTTAATTAAGAAATATTATTTTTATTTTAGTTATAAAAAATTGATTGTGTGCTTGATATATTTGCATTTCTTCTACAAAAAAAACTTGTACTTATGGCTTACTAACTTAACCACATCTGTTATACTTATTCATGAAATTCACTGTAATGATTATATAATAAAATTACTTACAATGTCTAAAAATGAATTTTATAATAACTGTTAAAGTAGATTAGATTTACTTGAAATATTATATTTGTATTTTCTTATTTATTTCTTTAAATTTTATATAAAATTAAATGAGTGATAAAATCATATGTATATTTTTCTCTTTTGTAAATATATTAAATTTAAAATATTCGAAAATGGTGTGATTTCATTAATAGTTTAGTAATAGTAAAGTATTCATAATAACTTCGCCAATTATACTTACATAAAGTGCTATGGACTATATCAAAAGGATATATTTGAAAAATTCATCAGATGTTACAGATACAATAAGAAAATATCGGACAGAACGCAAGGAAAGAATAAGAATGAACACATGAATAATTCATTTGATCTTTTGACACATTCTACTGATGGATCATAACACTTGGTATGTACTTTTAATGTAATTCTTTTTTTTCATTTAAATCTATGTATTGCACCAGTAATACAAGATAATAAGTACGACAAAATAATTCAGTTTTGAGTTCTATATAGAACTTGATGGTTCTAACGCTCTTTCTTCTAGTGACATCTATACAAGTTGATATTTTTCTTATTGTTATGAACTATTATTTATTTTTTATCTTTAATATTCAAATTGTAATTATTTTTTAATACATTGACAACTAAAGAGGTATACATTCAACATTTCATTGGATACTGAAACCTTTACTACACAAAGATGGCTGTTGCTATTAGACATTTTCATACTCTTTCTCGTCTATCCAACATTTCGTAAACATTAGATTTATTATCAATTCAAGTATCTTCTTATATATTTTGTTCTAATCGAATATATAAATTTTAATCTTTTAGATAATAACTAAATTTTCAATTAATCGAAAAAAGTAAATTAAATAAGACTCCTTTCATTTATCAAAAATACTTCTTTAAATCTTATTAAAGAATGACAGTTGAAACTGATACAATTAAGAATCCAAAAGAATCTCCCACAAAAACAAAACGTAAACGTGCATCACGTTCAAGTTCAAGTGGTTCAAGTTCATCAGGCACGACAAGTTCCTCATCTGCTTCGAGTCGTTCATCGTCATCCTCATCATCTAATTCATCATCATCAACTAGTCGTTCATCATCAGCTGCATCATCACCAGAAAAAAAAGGTGATCGTAATAAAGTAAATAATAATAAATCATCAAATAAAAAATCATCAGAACATGATATAATTGATGAAAAAAAACCTGTTCAATCAACAAATTCAACACGTCGTAGTCCAAGTCCATCATCACGTCGGCAAGAAAAAGAAGCTACCAAAATTTATATTGGTAAACTATCTTTAAATGTTAATAAAGAACATTTAGCTGAAATTTTTGGAACATTTGGTGAAATAAAAGAGATTGATTTACCATCTCATCGTATATATACACATCTTCATCGTGGTTTTGCTCATATTGAATATGTGACAGCAAATGGTGCTGAACAAGCATGTAAATATATGGAAGGTGGACAAGTTGATGGCAAAGAAATTGTTTGTGTGCTGGTTCATGGTCAACCACCACATTTATCTTCGGATAGAAATCGTCGAGAACGATCACCTTATCATGGAAGACGTCGACGTTCACCATTACCACCATCACGTCATTATCCACCACAAAGACGTATGGGAGATCGTGATCGTGATCGTGGAAGATATAATGATCGACGAGGTGGATATTCACCACCATCAAGAAATTATCGACGTGGACAATCACCACCGACATCTAGTCGACGAACTGGTGCAGGTGGAAATGCGGCTGAATCACCAAAGAAAAAAGAACGTAGATATTCACGATCAAGTTCAAGTGAATCAAAATAAATAACATTCGTCTTTATGTGTTAGTTTTTCTTTTTTCTTCTTTACTTTTGTTTTCTTGTGCTTATTTGTTGTTCCTGTTATTGTTGTTGTTGTTGTTTGTATGAAAAAATCAACAACAGAAAAAATAAGAATAAAATTCGTTTGTCTTATTCCATATTTGTCTATATTAGACAAGAGATACTTTAATATAATCTGTATATTAAAAATCTATATTCTACCTTTTGATTTAAAAAGAATCACTGTAGTGTATAATTTCAAATAAATCAGTTTTCAATAGTATAATAACAAAAATGAATAATCACGTTGAGATAATCTTGAATCATTGGTGATTTATAACTTTAATTATTTATCGAACGATAAAATGTTACAGATGAATGTAAACGTAAATGATAAAAGAGAGAAAAAAATATGTATTAATTGCTATGACAAAAAAACCAAATTTAACACCTAATGAATTATGTAAGTGTTTATATGAACATTATATAATCATACATAATTATCAAACGTTCAATTAACATTTCCTGTAAAATCGAACTATTTGAAAAATATGATTTTCTATATAAAGAGTGCATAAGACTGATATAGAATTGTTAAATGAAATGCAAAACATTTTAGATAGGGAAGAATAAAGGAATATCGATTACAGATGATGCATTTGTTATTTTTCTTTGTTGGCTCAATTACTATTCATGAAGAAAGAAGAAAATGAATAACCGTTTAAAGCTATTTTATTCAATATGACGTCGACTAAGCTCTGACGCACGGCGAATAAAAGGACAGTGAAGTAAAGGGAAATTACTCTCGTCGTTTTGCTAACCATCCAGACAATCAATTTTTTTTCAATTACTTTTTATTAACAAAAGACTGTTGATTGATTGTGTATATTTAGACTATTGGACGTAATATATTCATTCATAAGTATGAGCGGTCGAAAAGTAACAAAATAGTTGGACAGTTAGAGCAGAGAGAGAGAGAGAGGGAGAACGCCATCATCTGTTGCTTCTGGACAAAGGCCATTCAACTAGAAGAATTATTGACGGAGTATTAAAACATAGTCACTCTCATTTTATCCTCATCAATATATGTACTATGTAAATCTTTGACTTTTTTCACATCAATACATTCATTTAAATCTAGTCATTCTATCCATATATTCATAAGTCTTTTTGACATTTACCTTTTTTTCTCTCTCTTGCCAGGATCGTATGACAACGTGTGCGTGAATATTTAAATGACTTTGTCAGTTTAATCAATGATCTAGGTGTGAAAAAACGCAGTAAAAAGATATAATATCATTGTGTGTGTGTGTGTAGTAAAAGAAGGGAATAACTGAGAATTATTTTTGATTGTTATTATTAGAAGGGAAATATGAGCATTGAAATACTTGCCGAACAACAACAATTACGACAAACAACTCCATTCTTTAATGCTGAACTTATTAATAAATATTCCAAATATGTAAAAACAATTGGAAAACGAGTCGTCGAAGGTTTATTTTTGAATATTAAATTTTAAATATGAAAAATTCAATTTTTTAGTTGAATTTTGTTGGTATCAAGCAAATCCATGTCAAAGTTTTCGATTACGAATGACTGAAAAACAATTTACTGAAGCACAAAAACATATTTATTCAAAAAGTATTTGTTCTTTTTTTTTAAAGCAAGTTTTTTTTCTAATTTATATTTTAAGAATTATTTAATATGAAATTTGAACAATTTACTGATTTAATTGCTCCTGTATTTGCTAATAATGCAGCAGAAATTAATGATTTTATATTACGTTCAACATTTGATCGTTTATTTGATCAAAAATCAAATGGTACAATTGAACAAGAAGAATTTGAATCACTTTTAAAATTACTTAAAGCATTCAATAAAAATCAAAATGATTTAGAAAAACATTTTTTTCTTTACGAAACTCTTCGACAAACATTTGCACATCAAAATAATCATATTTCATTTAAAGGTAACACAAAAAAAACATATAATTCATGTTTTCATATTTTCTCTATTAGATTTCAGTGAATTTGTCAAATGTGGTTATGTACGCGAATTATTAATGGGTTAATTATTAATTTAAATTTTAAACAACATTGTAGACTAATCTGTTTTACAAATATATATATAAAAATATTCATTAGAAAAATTTAGCATAATATCAAATCGCTATTGTATTGATTATGTGTTTAAAATACTAAGTATCATCATAAAACAATATTTTGCGTTGTTGAGTTTTAAAGATTTTTAATTATATATTTATTTAAAACACGTGATTTATTCGATTTGACATATAACAAAAAAATATTTAGTATTGAATTATTTAATTATTGGTAATATTTGATTAATATGTGTCCTAGTCTCTCTTTCTTGACATTTTATTGTACGATAAAAAAGTTTTCTGATTTTTTTATTTATAAAACACAATGCCAATGAATTAAGTGTAGTAGAAATTGATATAAATAAGATTGATAATGAATATAATTGCGATGGAATTTGGATGAATCGATTAATTATATCACAGATAAAATAGGGTGTACCACCAATTCCTAGTATAGTAACAGAAATAAGAATGTTTCGAAATACTTTTAAATTTCTTTTCATCCGTAACATAGCAAAGGTATTTGAATCGATTTGATTTTGATGTATCGATTGTTGAAGAATTAAACCATAGAGAAAAATAATTATACACAATGGTATACAAAAAATAACGATCATGGCAGAAAATGATGTGGAAAAATGTTTTATTGTTAGAATACACATTCGAGATTCTGATTCATATTGATAAGCGATTGGTGAAATAAACATAAATCCAGGTATTATAAAACTAATCATCCAATTGCTAATAATTAATATCCAATTGATACGAAATGTGAGCAATATTTTATATTTATAAAGTATTGTTATAAAATAACGCGAGATAGCTTGAACAAGAAATGATAAACTTACAGATATACATGCGCTAAAATACAAAGCAGCACTTAATTGACAAAAAGTTGTATTTAGACTTATATATTTTGTTAGATCAGTTATCATCATAAATGGAATTTTCATGATTGTAGCAATTGCATAATAAAGGAGACAAGCACAAGAATTACAAATTAAAAGATTTGTAATTGATCGACATTGAAACTTCCAATTTGAAATTATAATTAAAATAGTTAGTGATGAAAAAATTATTGTGATTATAGTTAAAAAAATAAATATTATTGATAGAGTTATATAAAAATCTTCTCCGTCTCTCATAATGTTAGAATTTAGAATGAATAATGATGTAGGTAATGATAGAATGCATACTTTAACTTTGTAGAGTCATATTAGAAACTAAATGATTTTCTGATGTAGTCCTGCGCATGGAAAGTTGTCATTTTATGTCATGATGTTTTCTATAATGGAAAATACACCTTGCTGATCATGCGACATCTACATTATCATCAAGTACAACTTCCTGAGTGTAACAAAAAGAATGAACGATTTTTTTGTAAATTCTGAATAGGAAAACTTTGTTTAATATTTCGTTAAAAATTTCATCCAATCATTTTCATTCATTAAACTGTGCTGATTCATCTATCTATATATTATCAACGAACGTATTATTTTTATCTTATGTTTTATAAAAATTTCGTGCTTAATAACATTTGATAATGCTAACTCGATTTCGTACTATCACGCAGAAATCAACAATACCAATATCACTTCGTCTATTCAATACAAGTACATTGAAACTAAGTGATGGTGATCATACACTTTCAAAAGCATTTGTCAATGCTTCAGATGATATTAAAGCAGGTCTAGCGAAGAGATGGTTGGATACACTAGCTACTGACAGTGGTAAGTATAAACCAATATTTATTGAAAGATGGAAATAGACTAAATTTTCAGTTATCTATTTATCATACTTTCCACATGTAATGTAAACGAAAATATAGAAGTTTATGTACGACAATATCCGAATTTCTATATTACGCATTTATATTTCTTTGCCCTTTACCTTTTTTTTCTTTCTTTTATACCCTTATAAATGATGTAGCGTATTAAATCATATGATTACAGGTGAAATATCCAGGCTTTGATTGAATATTAGTGTATATTACGATTAATTTACTTTCTAGTTTACATTTCTTGTAGAAGCAATTGTCAAAGGTGAAATGCAATTCAATAAAAAATATAGTGATTGGAGAAAAGATTTGACAAAAATTCAATTGGATACAATTGAAGCAATTAAAGATAAATCAACCCAAGGTTACATGCATCAGTTTGATGTTGGTCGACGTGATACACCCGAAGAAAGAAGCAATATTGATATCAGAATAGAAACAGATCCTAAAGAAAAATACTAAGACAACTCATTATTTCCACATCTTATCCGTTAAATATTATATATTGTAAATCTCTAAATACCTGTCTATAAGACTTTTATTCCTTTTACTTATGAACTCTAGAAGATATAGCACATATTTTCAAATCTGTATGTTATTTTATTCTCGCTACAATCATACTTCATCTTTTAAGTGCATATTGTTTTTTTTCTATTAATATTGAATGTAATTCAAACACAAAACACATATATTTAAGGATAAATAAATTATATTTGATATAATTTTTTTTGTTGTCAATTAATTTTTGCTATGCTTCTAGGATTATTATTATTATTATAACCCTATAAATCTTGAGGGTGTAGATGAAAGATTACTTGTAGGTCAAGAAAAGATGTTTATTCACACCATATCCTCACACTTCGTTAGGAAGTACTGGAAAGTTATTATTATTTGTTTAGTAATTCACAAGATAAGCAGCAACATACAACAAAACACCTAGACGCTGGTGCTGTCCATTTATTAATCATTGTTACGAGAGCGCAATTGAAGATAGGGTGTGGAAGGATGAGTGTGGGTGTGTGCTGTAGATATAATAGTGACACCCACACCCTTATAAATGGGGATGTGGATCAACGTTTGGACCTTGAATGATTTCGGCTTGTATGGGAAAAGAATATCCCCTTGACTTTATGTGGGTAAAGCATTTCTCCTTGAATTGGAACAGTTTCTCTCGTTTGGGGGATATGGTCCAACCCTCTTTGATTTTTCTATAAAAAGAAAATTTTTCTAATTCAGTTTTCTTTGAAATTCGTTTAATTTGATTCATTGCAGAAACTTTCTATCCGAGCTATTTTATTCATTTTAGTTTTTTTCAATTCAAAATTAAAATTGAAAATTATTTATTTATTTTTCTTCTAAAAATGAGAAGCAATGTTATTTATTTTTGTTTCAGATTTTCCTTAAACTGATGTTTTTTATTTGTTTTCAAAAATATCGAAATTTTATCAAATTAAATTAAAAATATTTTTAATTTCAAATTTCCTCGAACTTTTGGATTCGATGATTGTAACAATCAACAACATAAAGATTTTCATCATTATCAAATGATAAACCCATGGGATTAGACAATTGATTTGATTGATTTCCTTCACCATTTCCACCAACAACAATTTCACCTTCTTTGTCTCTTTCACACCAACGCATTACTCGATGATTCTCACAATCTGCTACATAAATTTGACCCAAATGATCAACAATCACTCCTTGAGGACAAGACAATTGTTTGAGACTATTTCCTTGACCATTTCCGCCAGCGACAATAATTCCCTCTTTTGCATCTTTTTTCCATTTCATTACACGATTATTCAAAGAATCTGATATATAAAGAGTATAATCTTCATCAATAAAGATAAACGTAGGTCTATTTAGTTGATTAAGATGATTTCCTTGACCATTTCCACCTGCAGTTAATTCACCTCTTTTATCTCCTTGTTTCCATCGTCTTACTTCATTATTCTCCCAATCAGAAACATAAAGAAATCCATTTTTATCGATTGTGAGACCATAACAATTAATATTTGCAATAATAATTTGTTGATTTGTTTGATTTTTATCAAAATATCGAATTACTCGTTTTTTTCCACGATCAGAAATAATAAAAGAGTTATTTTCTTTGTCAAAAATTATATCCATTGGACAACTCACTTGATTATTTTGATTTCCATGACCATTTTCACCTGCAATGATTTGACCTCTATCTGAATTTAATTTCCATTGAATAATACGATGATTATAAGAATCAGCAATATAGATTGATTTATCATTATCAATAAAGATCCCTTCAGGATAATAGAGTTGACATAGTGTCTGTCCATTTCCATTTCCTCCAGCAACAGTAATTGCAAATTGTTGAAATTTATTCTTTTTTATTTGAGTTTCTTCTAAAATAAAAGATTTTCTTTTTATTAAAAATCTTTTTCATTATTTTTAAACCAAAAAAAGGGAGAAAATAAGAAGAAAAACTTGTATTTGAATTTCTTTTCATAAAATAAAATTTTCATTTTGTTAAATCTAGTTTTCTTCGAATAAAACTAGTTTCAAATAATTTCTTCGTCTAATTGAGATTTTTTAATTGAAAATTCTTTATTTGATTTTCATAAAAGTTTAATTTAGGAAAATGTTTTGAAATGAAAATGATTTAAATAAAAAGAAATTTTATTATTAGAAACAATATTCTTGAAAAAAACTAAGTTTTATTCGATTACATAAAAACAAAGAATAATTTTCTAACTGGGAAGTGTTTCTTTTCAATTGAGTCAATTGATTTTTTATTAAAATAAGAAAATTTCCATATGAATTTAATATTTGTCGTTTTTCTAATCAATAGATTTTTAACTATAAAACATTTTAAAGTCTAAAGATAAATCTAAATATGTATAGCATAGATAAATACAATTCTCAATATAATTTTATTTTCTTTTTTAAAAAACTATTCAAATGATTAATTTGATTCACAATTCTGTAAAAGTTTTTTCAATCGTGAAAAATATTTATTTTAATTAGAAAATAAAACTTTCAATGTTAAGTTTTGTTCTTATTCATATCAATTAATTTATAAAAAGTATTTTAAATGAAAAACTTTGTTACTTTTCAAAAGAATCTTCATTTTAAATATTTATTTAATAATATTCTCAATATCTTAATGGAAAAAATAATTCGAAAACGATAGATGAAATCGTTTTTCAGTGTTGTATTAAGTGATCTAAAAATAGAAAGAACCGAATTATGAATAATGTTTCAAGAGAAATTGTTATTTCTTATCTAATGTATAATATTCTTCGAAAAACTAATTCGAATTTTTAACGAATAAGTAAAAATAATTTATGAGAAAGTTCTATCTTAGTTTGCAAGAAGATAACACTATCTTTTAGACAAAATTACTATTATTGTTATTTAATAAAACATACCTTTTTTTATTTGAGATTGAGGTTGAATTAGCATTTTATATAATATTGTTATTGGATTCCATGATGTAGCCGATGTACTAATTGTGGAATGATTTAGTTGAGAAGAATCTTAATAAAAAGAAAATACAATGGTTTTATTCGAAAATAATAGAAAAAAATTATTTATTTTAATTTAGTTTATACAAAAAGACTTCAAAAATATTCATACAATATTTTTGTTTTGAAAAAATAAACAAAGAATTATTTAGGCTATTAGAACTATTGTTCAAGTTTTTGCAATAATTTATAATAGAAACAAAGTAAGGTTTAAACTTTCCCAAGAGAAATATAAAGAGAGAGAATTCGTTCATGTTTTATTTTTTGAATATAAATTCCAAAGTTTTCTCTATGAAATATTTATTTCTTTTTGAGAAAATTTTTTTCCACCTATAAAATACGAAATGATATTCATTTATAAAAGAAAAGGGGCTGATCCAAAAACCATGAATTCTCCCACTCTCTAGAAATGTCATAATACGAACGTCCTTGTCACCCAGATCACGAATCCGACAACCGTTTGTCTAGATCTGATCCTTTTCTTGCCGTGTTTACCATAGTGGGGTACCTGAGTCTCAGTAGGGTAGTTTCGTGAAGTTTCAAACACAAACAGATAAGTATTCAGAAATTGTTTTTCCCTCAAACTTTGTAGAGCTTTCTTCGCTGATCATTTTCGAATAAGGAAGTTTTGAATTCTATTGAAAAATGACGACGCCATCGTCAAAATAAAAAAACATAGTAAAATGCGGTAAAATAGTTTAAATCCCATTTTTCCTTATAAAATATTGAAAACTGTCAGAAAAAAAAGGATCAGATCTCGACAAACGGATGTCAGATTCGTGATCTGGGTGACAAGGACGTTCGTATTATGACATTTCTAGAGAGTGGGAGAATTCATCATTTTGGATCACCCCCTTTATTTGATTTTCAAAAACAAAATTCTTTTAGATGATTTCTTATAATTTAATATTTTTTCTTTCTGAAGCTTCTATTATTTTCAAATATGAGAAAAATGTTAAAATATTTTATTATAAAAATGAAAGATAGAAATAGATAATAATTATGATTAATTTATATATTAGTTTAATCAGATTTTTAATATTTTATTGAAACAAAAAGTCAATCTATTTATAAACTATTCTATTCAATTAAATTTGATTTTTATCGATCTTTAAAACAATTGTTTTATGATTTATCTTAGAAATAAAATTGTACAAGTATAATCTTTAATTATTTTATTTCTCAATTCAAATTATCAATGGATCAAATTCTACAATAAAATATCAAATATTTCTTACTCATCTGATTATTTTGAGAAGCGTATCATAAATTCTACAATGATTTATTTATTAGACTATTTATTATTGAAAAATAAATTATTTTCTTTAATTTTTCTATATATTTTCGTCTAGAAATATATTTTGATCAGTTAAATGAAACAAATGTTTTTGAATTTGAAGCAAAAATAAATAAATATGAGTTTATAACCAAAAATTAATCTAATCCTGAATCATTTTTATTTCTTATTGGATTAGTTTAGAAAAATATCAGAAATAAAATAATATTTTCTATGAATTTATTAATTAGATTCTAGAGAACTATTTTCATATTCATTTCTTTATCGAAATTCATTTAATTGATTTGTTATCTAACGAATATAGCAGTTGAAATACTTACTAGGATTTGATGGTTCATCATCATCACTTATTTCTTTTAAATGAATAATATTTAATCCACCAAGATGATTTAATGGATCAGATACAACTTCGAATATTGTTCCAGGCATTAAGATAACTTCATTTTCATTTGGGTAACATGTAAATGATGAAATTGATTTTCCATTTAAACATTTAATATGAAATAATGTACTTGAAGAAGATTTACTAATAAATGAAGAAATAACATCAACAGATGTTGAACATGAACTTATACTCCACCAAGTAATTTTTTGATTTTTTTTAAAACTCTTAGTAACATCTTTATTAATTCCTCGAAAAATAGTTCCTCTAAATTTCGGTAATTTTGATGTTGCAGAATCTAAAAGTTTCAAATATCCAAACCATGGAAGAACTTTTGATCGATCTTCTGCACGAAGTGTTTGATTTAAAATTCGATACACACTTGAGTCATGAGACATTTCCATTGTATAAATATAAATTGCAGCAGATTCATCTTTTGTTATATTATGATCATTTGGATATGTACAATATTTTTTAGCTAATTTAACAAAACGATTTATTTCTTCTAAAAAACCTTGTATTTCTTTCATAGCATCTTCAAGAGATACTAATTTCCAAGTAAGATAACCAAAACATGCTGGTAAACGTTTATTTTCCAGTTCGATATCTGTAAAACGATCTCCTGAACTACTCATTATAATTAATTAATTATTCAAATTGTTTTTTTTTTGTTGAATGATGAACTAAATAAGAAAAAAGAAAAACTTTATTACATTTGAATTTTGATTACAAAATTTGAAAAAATTGACAATTAAAGTTACTTTACTACACTTTTTATATTGTTTCAATTTAATCATATTTAAATGCGATCGATGGGTATGAGAGAGTGAGGGTGAGTCTCAGAATGACGACGCTAATGAAGATGATAGTAGACAGCTAGGTGTGGATACCAAGGGCTGAATATAGGTATGAATATTATAGTCATCTCTCAATAATCTCGTTCTTATGATATCCCCACATCTTCATATATATTCTCATCTGCACTAATATCTAAACTCATGGACTTGGTGTTTCCTCTTTTGCAATCTCCCAAAGGAACAAAACAAGTTGCAAAAATGAACATCTCTGTAGCATGTAGAATCATTGACAAGTCATAACACTGGTCTAGAAATCTAACGAGACTTTAAGCTTATGAAAACTTTTATGATTAAAATGGTCGACAGTTCGTACAAGGATATTTATTTAAAATTTACCTCACACACATTGATCTCGAGAAGGCAAAAATGGCTGTAAAAGAAGATAAGTTGAGTAATATTTACTGACTTATGTTATTTATGAATCACTTCTATAATCTGTCTTTTCGGACGTGTATGTTGGTAATAGTTTCTTTCGTCGAAATGAAGAAAAGTATGCACATCATACATAATCACCTTTTATATATGAAGCTAAATAAATTCCGTTATCTTAGTTTTTTAAAGAATGATAAACAAGGTTATTCATTCAAGTCAGTAAGAAGTATTTCTTTTTCTTTTATTAGCGATGATATTACTTATTACGATAGAGTTTCTTCTCTACTTGCAAAAGATAACAGCAAACATTTTGAAGAGTGTGAATATAGATGCAGATATGGGACAGGCACGGATAGGAGCGACAGTGTGGATTGGGATATAGGTATTATATTCAATCTTTTCGCACAGTCACACATACACCACTGATGTGACTGAGGGGAGTAAAATGGACAACTACCTATTTCATTTGGAGTTTTAGCCATTAAAATTTTACTTTTCTAAAATCGTTTATTTATTTTTCTGATAAGATAGCAACTGAATGTTATTCTTCTATATGAATCATATGCACTTTCTGCTTATTCTTCTTATGCAGCATAAAGACGAGAAGAATAAAAGGATCGCTTCTTATATTTTAACTTCAAGTTTAAATGGACATGAGCATGATTTTATTAGGAAAATATTAGCAAAGCGAAGGACTTGGTACTGTGTATACTGATGTAAATCTCGATGTGAATTCGAATGAGATATTAATATAGTGTACATAAATAGGTTCTTGTCGTTTTTACTTTGATATTTGAATTTAGGACATAAATATTACGAATAGAGACATTAAAAATACACTAAAACATATTTGATTTAAACTTAACATCTGAGTTTAATGTATATTTGAATAAAAATCTTCATTTCATTTTGTGTTTAGGGGTGTGAGTGCCTAATGTATGCGGTGTAAATATCGTATTGAATTATTCCACCCTCATACCCATCCTCGGTGTACACCTCTAGACACACAGATATTTGTTAGATTCTTACACCAACGAAACTTCAAGACAGAACTGCAGAACAATGTCTCTGTCTTAAGAGTGGGTGTTGGTGTGGGTGTGCCCTATGTAGAAGATAATACGCATCC